GGATGATGATGATGATGATAATTAAGGGGAATGATCAAGGTGAAAATATATCTCTTTTTTGACGGAAAAATATGAATACATTTAAAGACTTTTTTCCTTCATCTCTTTTTTGCCAATTCAACATTTTCTTCTTTTGACATTTTTTCTTCTTCTTTTCTCAATTTAACTTCTTCTTCTTCTCTTTTTTTTTTGCTTCTAGTTTTTCCTTCTCACCATTCAAATGTGTATCTTTTTGCTTCTGGTTTACCATATAAAAAGAAAGAGTTGAGATAATATTCATTGAATCGACATGATTCTCAAAGTCATGATATTGAAATGAATGTGAATGAGAAGTAATAGAAGATGCATTAATATGAAGAGAGGGAAAAAAAAGTTGAAAGGTTTTCTTTTTGCTTTTCTTAAAATTGAGAGAGAAATGAAAATGCATATAAAATGGATATGAATACACTTCTGAGAAACTGATTTTTTCTCCTTTTTTTCTTCTTCTTCTTCAGACGACTTTTTTTGCTCTTTTTCACATCCAACTTCATCATTCTTCTTCTCCATCATTATCATTATAGTCATCAACTTGAGGACAATTGCAACTTGAAATAAACTTAACCCATAAATACAGTATTATCCTATTGTATTGGAAATGAATACACAAAAAATGAACTTCAAGTGAAATATATACTTGAAAAGAGGCAACGAAAAAAGCAGTTGACCGAAAAATTGAAGATTATTTTTCATCAGATTGTTCAATAATAATGATCAATCAAATAGAGATTTTCATCGAAATTATCTCAAAAGCTAAAGAAAACAAAAAGATAGTTCAAATGATTTTCGCCGAACACAGTCTCAATGTTAGACAAGATTTTTCGTGCAAGTCAAACATTGAAAAATGAAACAAAACGCTCATCAATATCACTGGAAAATTTTCTTGACTGTCGAGACAATTCTGAAAAGAGTAAACGCAAAAACTTTTCCTTTCGAGTTGAGACTTACAGTGAAATAAAAACTGGAAAAATTTCTCTGATCGACAGTTTTCGAGAAAATCGAGGTCAAAGTTGGAACTTGGATCGCCTTCCGTGTAGTTACGGAACCAGATTTTTTCATCAAACAAACTCTTCCGATTTAAATTTTGATGACCAACCAGAAAAGTCACTTATTTGGAGAATAAAATTTTCTACTTTTATTCAAGAAGTTACTTCGATTTTCGGTTAAACCTGGCGCTTCGAGTTATGGTAACAGATGAAGAGCTGCAACTTATTTTTCGTCGATAGAATTGATTGACGAAGATCAGCAATCAAAACTTAACTGTTGAGTATTTTAAACAAAAATAAAATGGAAATTTGAGGAAAAATCGTAAATTACAAACTGTAAGCGAAGAGACAAATAGTGAGATCTCTTGCATTTGAATTCAAATGAAATTCATTCAAAATTTTCTGGTTTTGAAACAATTCTGTATGGAACATTTTTCAACCTTCAATTTTGAAATTTAAAAATTATTTTGACAAAATATCGACCGAAAAACATTTTTGCTCACAATTTGTTTTGGCATTAAAGCTGAAAGTTGCAATAAAAGCTGTTTAAAAAGTCTCGATACATTTCCTTCAATATCATCAACATGATAATTTTGACATTTTTATTTGTCCAATCTTTATGGCTCAATGTTTATAATGTAATTTTTGTGCTTCAAAATTGCGATTTACATGGTCGATTACATTCACAAGAATCTTATTTGGACGAAATTAATTTTTTCGCATTTCAAATGCATTGAAAGACATCACCAAAGAAGCCACTTTTAAGCCACTTTTTGAACCAATTTCCCATGGAGTCACATTTCACACCAAACTAACCATCATTTTTGCTTTACATTTACCATTATTGGCTCTATCCTGTTATTATTTATTTTATGATTTACAAGTTTTATCTGATCTGAATACGTAATTGTTTTCACATTTCAATCTTAACCTAACCAGGAAAGCATGAAATGTTTAAACAAGCAAATGAAAAACGGATTCACCAGAAATTGTTTTAAACACATTTAACGAGAAGAGGCAAAGCTGGTAATGAGAACAATTTGTTTTCATTTTTAGGCGAAAAAAAAGAGAAAAATTGAAATTCTTCTTCCCTTCAACTGTTCATTTCCATTAATACATATCACATTTTAATATTATCATTATTATAACAAATATCATTTAATAATAATCATAACAATCATAACAATCATGATGTTAAAAGTATTAGGAAAAGGAGGAAAAAACGGTTTTGATTTAATTCACTTTTATTCATTTTCATCTTTTGTGTTGAACCTTTTTTTCAGAGTTGCAATTTTTACAGTTAAACTTTGTTATCATTGCATTAATGATCATCACAATTGAACTCAAAATATTATCATTAAAATATTATATTCAATAAGAGGAAAGAGAAATGGTAAAAAATAGATTCTCAACATTTTCCGAACAACAACAATTTTCACTTTTTATCTTCTTCTTCTTTCTGTTCATATTAACTTTGAAAAAGAGATGAAATGATTTACTGTATTTAGTGTAACCGGAGATGCTAAATTTCCTGTAGTAAAGGTATTCAATACAAAACAATACTTCTTTTGCTTTTCCTGTTTCATGATAAACTTATTATCATTATCATTTGTATGGACCCAACTCGTGAGTTTGAATCAAATTTCATCCAATATTTTATGCTCACTATTTCAGGGTAAAGCATGATTAACAGATTGAATAAAGAAATTTGAAACAAAAATTCTATTCTAATCTCACTGGGATTGACATTGAAAGTTCAACTGTTTTCCATTCAGACGATTATCTTCAATCAATTTGCAATTCCGTTACGATTTCAACTGTTTAAAGGTCACAATTTTCTCAACGAAAAACGGAAAAAATTTTATTCGATTTTTAGAACTTTTTTTCGGTTCAACATTCATTTTAGTTATGAAAAGTAATATTGAAAAGAAATATTTTTGTATCGAAATTTCGTTTTTAGTCTGAGATAGAAATGAAAAATTCTTGAACAATTCCATTGGAACAATTTTCTTTGGAAAAGTTCTGTTGGAAGAAAAACTAAATTCTTTAAAGTTCTTTTAAATATTTTGAATTTTCGTTTACACACAAAACTTGAAGTAAAATGTTTCGATTAAAAATTGCGATTTTGAAGAATCTTGATTTCGATTTTTACAAATTTTAAAACTCATTTTAATCGAATGCAAAGAACTCAAATTTTTTCGATTTTTTAAAATTTCGATTCTAAGATAGAAATTCAAAACTCTTGAGTGATTCCATTGGAACAATTTTCTTCGGAAAAGTGCTGTTGGAGGATTCATCAAATTCGTTTTTTTACAAAACTTGGAGGAAGTGTTTCGATTAAAAATTGAAATTTTGAAGAATCTTGATTTGGATTTTGAAGTTTAGATGGAAGCTTTTTCCGCTGAACAAAATGATAAAACTCGAGTTTTCGTGATTATCAACTTTTGTTTATTTTCAGCTGTAATATTTGTTTTCAATATTTTGTTTGTTAATAACATTATTATAATGATTTGTGGATGAAAAAAAGTTTGAAATGTTGATAACATTGCGTGTTCATTTGATGGGAGAGACTTAATCATTTTTGTTTTCATGATTGATCATTATTCTTGTTTTCATTTTCATTTTGTTTTCTTGCCATTTGTTGAACCAGTCTTTCGTATTGAATAATTCATATGCTTACATTTTTGTTCATTTTACTTTTTTTACATCAGTTTAAAGCTTTTAAATGTTTCATTGTATAAGACTGATTGAGAATCCTATCAATATCAAGTGTAATAATGAATTATCTGTTTGTCAAAAGTTTACTTATTTCTTCTTCTTCTTCTTTGATTGTTAATTGAACACGAATCTTTCTGTTGATATTAATTGTGATTAACTTGGAGTGAAGTTGAAATGGATGTAGTTGAACACGATCAAGATGATATCGATGGTTAAAGATGATCATCATGGAAAGAAGCTTCTGTCATGATAGATTTTTATCCATAAACAAGCTTCCGTGTTCATCTCTTATTATAACCTTACTATTATATAAATGTTTATACTTTTTTGTGTCTTATTTTGCTTCCTTTAACATGAATAAAGTTAGTTAATAGGAACAAAAAGAAGACAATCTTTCAATAGAGAAAATATTTTCAGGGTAAAAAAGGTGAAACACGAATAGGTAAAAGGGTTGAGTTAAGATTTGAGTATAATTCTGAAAACATTTTCACATGTTTTCCATTCTCATCTGTGTTTGAGTCTTTAATGGTTTACTGATTATTTTTGTTATTAACATTGAAACCATTAACAGGAAAAATGTTATTCAATGAATTGGAAAACAATTTTGCAGTTTCAATTGTCGCTGAAAAGGGAATTATTTTTTCTCTTGTTTTATCTTTGTTTCAACCATCTTTGTGTCATCAGAATTTCTGGTTAATGTTGAGATTTAAGTTGAGTTGGCTTCTCTCATTTTCCAATCAACCTTTTAGTTTTTGCTGTTTTCCCTCAGGATATTCAATGTTGATTGTCCACTTTGTAAACAATCATGTTTACCAATCAAAGTGAATTAGAGTTTATCATTTTGCTATTTCAAGAGTCACCGTGTCACCATCAAATCAGTATTAACTGTTTACTGAAATAATTTTATTCTCGCTCAATTTGAATTGCTTCAAACGATTTAACCTCCTTTTGTTTGCTTAAATCATTATCAATCAGTGAAACATTCATCATTCGTTCAACAATTTAATTTACATTTTTCCAGGCAATCTCAGGTTCTGTCCAAAAAGATATCGACTTTCTGGTTTTCTCAAAATGCCTTTCCAGTGATTAACAGAATTCAATTAACAATCTGTTGGAATCAATGATTTAGTTAGTCAACAATCAGTTTACATAGTTTCATGGATCAATCAAAGCATGATTTAAGATCAATAATATTGGTGAACACTTACAAGCTTTAAAGATGACATTTGAATGAAATTTGAAAAGGAAAATTATTCTTACTTTGAAAGGTAAATTTTCTGTAAATTTATTAGCCCATAATTTTGAAATATTTTTGGTTCCAAGGATTTGATTCGGTTACCATTGAAGTTAATCACTTGAGTATCACTGTGAATCTCTGTGGGTATTTTGGTGAAGGTTAATCCTTTACAATCAACTTCATATTTACCGCCTCTCCAAATGCATTCACATTTTTTAGGACAACCTTGTTTAGTTGATTCACGACGGTTAATTATACGAGATGAAACATGGTTAACATGGTTTGAATGGTGATGATGATGATGATGGTTATGGTGATGAGGGAAAGTATGATGAGATGAAGCAGTTACATTGGTTTGCTTGGTGTCACAATTAATCCAAGGGATGGAGATAATTAACAATATTAGTTGAAATATAATGGCCACATTTAAAGGTGATGATGGCGACAGAAAGGTTGAAGATAATTTTGACATTGATGATGAGGTAGATGATGGTTGTGATGGTCTGGTTGGTGTTGGTAAACAGCAATGACCAGGAGATTGGGATAACACATGATACCGGTAAATCTGGTCTTCATGTTTAGTTGATGTTAATCCATTGATAAGAGGTGTTTGTTGGGAACACATTAAAGAGATTATCCATTGATTAACTGGATCACTGTGATCTGATTTCATGATGACAGGATAAATGATGGAATGAATGATTACAATGATGGTTGAACTGTCTCATGTCAACCAACAATAATTAAGATGTAAACATTAAAATGGGTAAAACAAGGGATAACAATGGACGACTTTACTTGTGTAAAGAAACCTGTTTTACAATTATTTTCATTTCTGGTTAATGGTTAGAGACACAATTGAATATATTATTGACGATTATTGAATTGACATTGAGGCACACAAATTAATAAACAATTAAACTAGTTGGTTAAATAAATATACAAAATCACATTGACCAAATAGAGGTTTGAGGTAATTGGGAAAAGAGGAAAATTTTACTTCGGTGGATTTGGTTTCATCTTTTTAATTCAATTTTAATATGTTTTAATTGTATTTTGTTTGGTTTAACGGATAAATTCAGATGGTTTAACAAATAACAGTTGATGAGGGTGATGATAATGATGTTGATTATGGTGATATTGTTAGTGGTTTATGTTTTTATCCGTAATTGCAATGTAAAGTGAACAACAATGTTTACTTTTTTGCTGCGTTTCCTCTTTCACTTTTTAGTCCTTCTTTTTTGGTTGCTTTTTGTTTTATATAACCAGAGAAAGACAAATTCACTCAATTTTGGTGAAACAATCACTGAGTTTATTCTGAGTTTTTATCAATATCAGCTTTGAATTGCTATTTCTGTCTCACTCACAATTTTGTCTCTCCTATTCTGGTTTTTTTTCAGCGCAAAATCTCCTTCTAACCAGGCAATCTTTACTTTCTTATACATGTAGATATATTTTTATATTAAACACTTTATCGATCCATTCTCATTTGTAGCTTGTGAGAGACACTTTGTTGTCACTGGGAGTTGAAGATGTTGATGATGAAGATGAAGCAGCGTAATATACATTTATACTAACCTTGTCCATGAAGTGAAACAAGTTTCCTAGGGAGGTTTTAGTATATTATATAACATATATTACCGAACAGGTTCAACTTTTCATTGCTTTTACATTTTCATTCCCGCTTCATAGGCTAAGCTTACTAGGCTGACATCTATGGGATAATTTATTAGTCTAGATATTTTCAAATTTAGTTTGTTTTGTAGTGAATTTTCAACCAATGTTTTCTTAATTCCTTATCATTTGTTGTTTCGAGATTTCGACTTTTCATTTAAAACGCAATAGGTCAATGGTTCTAAATCTAATTGTGTTTTGTTATAGAAATGGCCAGATTTAGTTAATCCCTTAGCAAGTTGGAGTTTAAATTGGCCGGGTCTTAACGAGTCTCCTTGCTGCTTTCACATGGGTTAATGTTTACAAATTTGTTTTTTTTTAATTTTTTTTGTTTTTCTGTTAAACAATGTCATTAAAACTGCAAAGCAGGTTAGTTACTAATTTAAACTGGGTAGCAAATCACGTAAAATCACATTTCAGGTAAGTTTATTCTCTCATGATTCAATTTCATGTGATTTTGAGTCTTCCTTTTGTGTTTTGTTTCATGAGTTTTTTTTGTTTTTGTTTGTGTTAGAAAAAGATCGACTCTTTCATTATCGGATGGTTATTCGGCTTTAATTGGATTAGAAGTTCATGTTCAAATCAATGCTTCTTCTAAATTGTTCTCAAGAAGTTCAAATGACTATCTTAGTGCTCCAAACATCAATGTTTCACTATTTGATGCATCTATACCTGGTACTCTTCCCGTTATAAATCAGTACTGTGTTGAATCGGCTATTAAAAGTGGAATTGCTCTTAACTGTTCCATTAATGAAAAATGTCTATTTGATAGAAAACACTATTTATATCCAGATTCCCCACATGGATTTCAAATAACTCAAAAACGAGAACCTATTGCCACGGATGGCTATATTAACTTTGTTTTGCCAAAAACCAAGGATCGAGAAAGCGAAATAAAACGTGTTAACTTAAGGCAAATTCAGTTAGAGCAAGACACTGGTAAAACTCTGAAAGACATCAAAACTGGTGCTGTTTACATTGATCTGAATAGATGTGGGGTTGGCTTAATGGAATTCGTATTTGAACCTGAATTGTATAATCAAGTCGAAGCTTATCATCTTGTCAAAGAACTTATTCACATCTTGACGAGGTAAAATTTATTCACCATCATATTGGTCATTGTATTTAAAAAAATTTTATTTCTTAGGATTGACACTTCAACCTGCAAAATGGAGGAAGGAGCTTTACGTGTTGATGCTAATGTGTCAGTATCTCCCATTGATGGACCTATTGGTAATCGAGTAGAGTTGAAAAATCTCAACTCTTTGCAAAGCTTAGCAAAAGGAATTGAATTTGAGATATCTAGACATTTGGAAGCTTTAAAGAAGGGCTTACTTGTTCCCAGTGAGACTCGTTTTTATGATCCTGTTCGCAAAAAAACTTTCCCTATGAGAGATAAAGATAATGTTGAAGATTATCGTTATATGCCTGAACCGAATCTGCCTCCATTAGAATTATCAAATGACAACAATGTTGCAGATATTGATGAACATCAAGTGATTTCCATCGCCAAAATCAAAGAAACAATGCCAAGTTTACCAGATAATGAACGAGAAGTTCTAATCAATCGATTCAAATTATCCATTGAGACCGCACAATTGATTGTTGCATCTGATTTGTTCCCGTTTTTTAGCTCAATCATCGATTTGAATCCTAACTATCCTGTCGCAAGAATTGGTTCATTTGTTGCAAGAGATTTATCGGCTATTCTCAATGACAACCGAGTAAGAATAGATGAAGTTGGTCTGACTCCGCAATTTATTCTCGAAGCATTTCACTTGGTTGAACAGGGAGTTCTTACGATGTACATTGTTCAAGATATAATCCAGTTAGCAATAAACGGTGACAAGCGAAGTGTACGAGAAATTGTAAAAGACCATGGCTGGTGGCTAACACAGAATGAGAAGGAATTAACTGAAAACTGTTTAAAGATAGTTGATGCTTACCCAATTGCTGCATTTAATGCTAAACGAAATAACCAGTATTCAATAGATTGGCTTTGTGAACGAGTTTTGAAAGAAACCAATTTAAAATCGACTCGTAATGTGGTTAGAACTATAATTAAACTAATTTTAGAAGGGCGAGATATTAAAGCCATGAAAAAAGCTGCAATTAAAGCAGATAAGCAAAATAAAGAGGAAGATTTTTTAATTGGCTCGAGCAAAGATTCAATTTAAAACATTAACTTTGCTATTAACTTTATCTTTATTCAGTCATTTTGTTGATATAAATTTTCCTATGTCGAAAGATGCTCATCATTTGTAAATAATTGTTTTGTAGTTAATTTAAAACTAAATTGTTATTAAATACCTAATAAATTTAAATCAGAAAAAATTATCAAGTTGATTGATTTCGCATGTTTTCCGAAGAAATACAATTCAAGACTCTTCAACATCTGCTTAAGATAAGGTGTGTGTTATAGACCATTATGATGAACAAGTTCTTATCCGATGTTGCTAGTTGAAAAAACTGTAAGATCAAACCTCGTCTCATTTTTTTCTATCGACATTAACTCTAATTTCATATTTTGATCGTTATATCCTTTTACCATTAACCTAAACACCTTGTCATATATAATTAACTGTTATTAATTAGAAAATTAAATTTAAACTATGTCACGTTGTGTTGTCAGTTAAACTAACCAATCCTGTTTCTTTTCATAAGCACATTGTACAATCTTCCTCTTTTGTCTGTCTGTTTCTCTTTGGTGACTTTAACTGAAAGAAGAGCGGGCTTTAAGGTAATGTGTAATAGTGTTTAACCATATATTCCGTTTGATTCCTGATTCAATACGCGATTTAAATTTTATTTATTTGTATCTGGATATTCAATCATCCTAACCTTGTTTTTTAATGCTTCTTTTTTCAAATTTCCTCTCTGTAGGTTGCGATTGTTGGGTAAACTGTCAATTTTTTTATACTGTAAATCAGTAAAATAACTCAGCTTATCTTTCTGCTTAAGTCTGAGTTTCGACCAAATTATTAATGATGGAGATGGATACTTCAACTAGTCCTTGGGCCGGTGCTCAATCACTTAATCGGAGCTTAACTGGATCGCCATCTCAACCTACCTATGGCACTCGATCTCCTCCAAACCAAGTAATCGTGCCTCAAGAGTTGCCTTCTCAATTAATTGACAAATATCTAGCTACTGATGCTAATTTTCTCCAAATCCATGATGCTATCAAAGCTTCAACGGGTGAGTTATCAAATTTAAAATGAAAATATCTTACCAGGCTACATAGATATGTGATAACTTTTCACTCTTTCTTTGCTTCACAGGCTATCCTACTATTAGCGGTCTTCAAGATACCGATTATCCAAATATTAGTGATCTATCTTCAGCTCTCGGAAGTTTAACTCAACTAGACAAAATAACAACCATACCATTGCCATCGGGCATTGTTGAACAATTTAACCGTAAGTCATTTTTGGTTTTCATACACAACTTACCATGTACCTACATGTTTCATCATAACTCTATCTCCACAGATGTACAACAAAATTGTGAAATGGGAATCTTTACTGAAATTAAACGAGCTTGGCTTACAGTTGACAGTACGATTTACCTTTGGTCTTACGATAATGGCAGTGACATGGCATACTATGATGGCTTAACTGAAGTAATCATTGGAGTTGCTCTTCTCAAACCTAAACCTGGTAATGCTGCTTTAATTTTTTCTTTTCATGTTAAAGTTCTATTTTAACTTATATTTCTTATTTTTAAATCTCAGGAATTTTCAAAGATAACATAAAATATGTTCTCTGCTTAACAACTCTTGTTGAAATCGTTCTGCTTGGTATACAATATCGTGAAAGCGGTACCGAGATGATTGATGATCTCCATGTAGATTTTGAACCTTTATTCACTATAGCCACTGACAATACAGCTATGCCCGTAATTCAAGGAACAGATGATGGAAGAATATTTTTGGGTGGAAAGGATGGTTCTCTGTATGAGGCTATGTACCAAGCTCACGAAACCTGGTTTAGAAAGAAAAGCTGGAAAATCAACCATTCAAGCTCAACTCTTTCTTTCCTAGTACCTTCCTTACTTTCATTCTATGACAAGAATCCCATCGTTCAAATTGAAATCGACAATAGTCGTCACATCCTATTCACCCGATCAGAGAAAGGTACTATCGAAGTTTATGATTTAGGTACAGACGGAAAGGATATGGCCAAAGTTGCTACAAAAAGTGCCCACGCAATTAGCTCACAAGCCGCTTCCTTAGCTCGTAATATTGAGGCAGAAAATTTTCGCACTATTAGCCATATCTGTGCAGTTTCTGAAAGTGAATCTACTTTCATTAATTTGATTGGTTTCACTGAAACGGGAATTCGTATTTATTTTTCTACTAACAACACTCAAAAGTATGAGCAAAGACCTGATTCACTCAACATTGTTCACATAAGATTACCTCCAGGATACTCAGCAGCATCACCTCCTCAACGTCCTTCTAACATTTATCTGGCCTCATATGCTCGAAGTACTACTATCATGGTTTCTGTAACCAGCGATGGTAGAGCTATTCTTTGGACTTTGTCGTCAGACGCCTTTGCATTTGATAACCAGTTGATGGAATTGTTCAGTGTTCATCCGATTAGTAGTCGTGTTTGGCGTATGAGAGAAGAGAGTAAACCACTTTTAATTAAAAAGTATATACCAATTAATGTTGGCATCAACAAAGTCGTCAATCTTGAACCCCCGGTGATGATCACTCAAGATTTTGAAGATCAAAGAAAATTTATTTTCCTATCCTCTCAAGGTGTTCATATCGCTTACAAACCAAGACCAGTTGACCATTTGAAACAATTACTCGTTGATAACCAAGGTTTTGAAAATGAAGCTGTAAAGAGTTTTTTCCGCCTATATGGAGAAGCTCAAAGCTGCTGCATGGCTTTGTCCATTGCATGCCAAACTACTTCACCGGTGGAAAAACATGTAGCTGAGTGGGCAACTTTAGCATTCTTCCGTTATGGTGGTGATCCTCAAGTTTTAACAGCCCCTAATCAAACTCCACAATCACAGCAGCAGCCTGTGATACAAAGCACTGGTACTCCATCACATTCCATAAGTCAACAATTTACACCTCATATTGCAAATTTAGGCGGGCAAGTTTCAACTCCGATTTCATCTACGCCTCGTTTTTCATCACCATTGAGAACGGTTCCAGCATCTCCCATTGCTCGCTCAACCAGTGTAATTAAAACTGCTCCGCATCATGACCCGGCACAATTTACTCCTTCAAGCTCTGTTATTCGAAATCGGCAATCATATATCGCCAACCAATCTGGCTTGTATGGACAGCAAGCTCATCCCTTTAATGAAACCTTGATTTCAGGAAAGCCCACCTCCCCTCCAGCTCAACAAGTTCAATATGGAATGTCAAACAAACTTATTGGACTTTACTTGTATGTTGCTCGGGTTATTAGACCAATCTGGAATTTAAATTGTGTTAAATCTGAGCCAATCAAACCACCACCAAAAGAAGGATTGAAAGAAAATATTTCATGCGCCATATCAGATGCCGAGATGAGAGTGTATCTAGAAAAGTTGAACAATTTAAAACAATTTTTGATAAAAAATATCCAATTTTCGCCAATTCCTGATAACGAGATGCCACACTATTCAGAATCCACCACAATTACCTTTTCTAGCCCGAATCAAATCAATCCCATTATTGAGAGAGCTTCATTTAATAATGTTCTTACTTTAATCAAGAGGTGCCTTGAAACAATTGGACTTTTACGTATAACTTATGAACATAAATTTCCAGAAATTGTTAAAAATCTTTCACCAGACATTATTGCTAAGCTTAAAGGTACAACTTTCCGAAGCTTAATCAACGAAGGAGAAGATATCTGTGTCCATTTAGCTTCTTCACTGGTGCAAAAGTATATTGAAGATTCAGTGAGTACAGATTCAATCAGCCGTAGATTAAATGAAGCGTGCCCGTCCATCTTCAAGCACGAAAATGCTCTCCAAGCCAAAGCTCACGAAACACTGATCAAAGCTCGTCGAACTAAGGATGATACTGAACGATTTAAGCTTATTAATGAAGCTCTGACCACTTTCAAGTCCATTGGAGCTCGAGCAAACTTGAAACAAGCCTGTGATCTTCTGAAAACAGTACATGCTTACGTTGACATCGTCAATCTTTGTTTGAACACAGCGTTACTCCGGGATAAAGAAAATATTGGAATGTACTTCCATAAAAACAGTGGGAACGTTATCCAGCAGTTTCAAAGTGCTACTAGCAACAGAACCTTCTATCCTTACGACACCAAATACTTTGGTGATGAAAAACAAGCTTCCATTATTAGTTCCCGACTTGAATGCTATCGAATTATATTAGACACATATGAGCATCTATTGCAATTAGTTGAACATCCAATGTGTAATGTAGCTCAACCTACCTCATCCCAAAAAGATAACGAAGATTATATTCCACCTTTAACTAAAGAAGAGGCTCTCAATTACAGTAAGGCTGTACTCAAAGCTGCTATCGCTTCAGACGATGAACTTGCCCATGTGACCATCTACGACTGGTTATATGATCATCAACAGGTTGACAAATTACTGGAAATTCAATCATCTTACTTGGAAAATTACCTTAAAACTAAAGCGGCTCACTTTGGTGAATCAACTCAATTAATGGATCTTTTATGGATGTATTATGAACGGAATGGTAACTTCAGAGCAGCTGCTCATATTCTTGATGATTTGGCTGAGCGTTATGGTTCTGAATCCGACTTGTTAAAACGTTTGGAATACCTTTCTAGAGCTATTATTTGTCTGAAAAGTTGTCAAAGCCATCCTGGACTTGCTGTTACCAATGAGAAACATTTCAAGCCAAGTGGCGAACTATTGCACGATTTGGAGGAGAAAATGGAAGTTGCTCGATTACAATTACAAGTTATGGAAAATTTGTCCCAAAGAGCCGATGCATCAACGCCAAACATCAAAGAAGCTATCAAAAAACTTAATGAAGAGCTTCTAGACATCACCTTGCTATACAATGAATACGCTGAGAAGTTTGACCTTCCAGAATGTCAATTAGCCATTGTTTATGCTGCCTCATTTAACGATCCTGATTTGATAAGATCTCTTTGGAAGCGAATATTTGACAAAGAATTGGCTGATTCATCGAACAAGCCTATTTCTGTGAGAAAAACTCTTCTCGTCAACAAACTTCAACATTTATGCAAATTATATTTGCCTTGTGAAAGATATTTCCCATTAGGTAAGTTCAGAGTTGCGTTTACATTTTGAAAAATCATTATTCTAATTCCATACATTTCTTCACCTTTCAGACTTTATTATCCAATACTTGGAAAATATAACTCAACCCATGGAATTTGAAAGAAGTTGGCTTGCCGCATCACTTTTATCTTGTGGGATTGGTTTCTCACAATTAGTAGATATTTATCATAAACTGTATCAATCAAGAGATCCAACCATCTCATGGTATAAAAAATCAATTCAACTCCTCGAAGTGTCACACTGGCTGTTCTCTAAATTTTGTGAAAGTCCACTTTTAGTTACTTTAACTGAAAGGTATTTATTTGTTTTTCATTTAAATTTTTTAATCATTTTACATTTAACTAACATTTCCTTTCTATTATCTTCAGACGACAATTCACAGCTAAATGTTTGGATCTAATTGCTGAATATGTAATAGACCTTCAATCTAATAATCTTTCGGATCCACAAGTATCACACCTGATTAGCCAATTTAGAGATATTCAAGCTAAATTAGAAGGAATGACTTTTTAATTATATTTTTTAAATCTCTTGTTAATTGTAATAAGAAATGAAAAGTTTCTCAATGTAATCCCGCCTGTTTTTTGTTTTGGAAAATTCAAGGTCAACTTGTTTCACTCTCAATGGCGCCAAATCATTCAATGGAAAGAATACACGAAACCGGTAGAAATTAACGAAATGAACAGAAACAGAGTATCAATTTTTTCCGAATGGCTTTTATTCAAACTTCTTCATTTTGTATTACTTTTTTTTAATCTTCTTTTTATTCGAAGGAGTTTGTTTTTTAAGCTATATGTCTTTTTTTCATGTTAGATTATCAAAGATGATACAATTTACTTAGTCATTAGTCATGACTGATTTGAATTTGTGTTTAAATATTCAAATTTTGAATAGGATTTATATTTAGTATTGAAGAATGGGAAAAAGAAGCAAAAAGAAAGGTAGAAGAAGACGAAAAAAAGGTTAAGGGATGAAATGGAAAATTGACAGGCAAAGGACAAAAAAGGTTGACACGTGAAAAGTTTTGGTGTGAAAACAGAATCACAGATAGATTCTGAGAATGGTGAATCGTAAATTATCTTATTTCGGCGGAAAAAAGCAGAGAAAGAACCAATACGATGCCAATATTGATATATCGATAATTAGATTACGATGGAATCGTCGAAAGTAAATTCAGTCGGTGATGAGTTGGTATTAATTTGTCATCTTTGAATAATTTCTGCGTAGTTGCTGCTGGTATTCTCGGTGTCGATGTTTGTTGTAATCGTGATTTCATGAGTGAAAGTGGAGATGTTCTTCAATTTGAATGGTTATAACAAATAACTAGTCTAATAAGGAGCATAATACCATCCTCGACGCCTGTTCAGGAACAATGAAAAATAAATGAATGACTAAATTGATGAGGAAAACTTTTATCTCTTTCTCCACTCGGAGTCAACACTTACGGCCTTCTAGCTGGTCTGAAACCCATCCAAGCTGCGCCTCTACCCATATATCCTCTGCGTGAAGCTCTCATTGCACCACGAGGTGGACGAGCAGTGATGCTAAGTCCAGGTGTGTTGGTCCTTTTTACGTTTACTTTAATTTGTCTGCCTTTAAAAAGTGAGTCGTCAAGCGCCATTGCTGTTTGGACAGAATCTTTTTCAGCGAATTCAATGTAAGCAAAGCTATAATAAAGAAGAAAAAATTATCAATAATTGTAAATGTTTGTACTTGTGACAAGAGCTGTTAAAAAATACCAACCCTTTAGGGTGCCCACTGAATTTGTCACATAAAATGGTAACACGATTTATAGATCCACAACCATGAAAATGACGCTCTAAATCATCAGCAGTAGCTGAATAGTCGACCTAAAAATGAAAACATAATCGGTGAAAAACATGTTCAAGTATCAGATGTCATTAATCAGTATAATTCAACTAAAAATCAATCATTAAAACATTGAAAATCTAAACGAGAATCAGAGTCTAATTTTGTTCGCTTACAATTGTAAATAATGATGATTGAAATATCGAATATGTACTGAATTGATAAAAAAACTAAGGGTATGGAAAAGATGTTACTTACATTACCAACATAAATAGACCTGGCGTCAACCTCTCTTTTCTCCTCAGGAGATAAGCCAGCAGTACCTGTTTGAAGATGAAATGACAACATTAGACTCCATTGTAAGGGTTGATAAAATCAGATTTCTCCGGACATGCAAGTTTGGTAGTAAAGATGGAATACTTACTTGATGAACTTAAATTCATCTGTTTTTCAGCTTCGTCTTGCATTTGTTTTAACTTTTCTGCTTCTTCTTCCATTTCTCTGACACGAGCTTTTATTTCTTCCAGATCCTGTAAGAGCAAATATATTTGATTAAGAACGATGATAAGTGAGAGGTTTTAAGCAAAATGTTGGTCATTATGATGGTAGAGAACAATAGATAACATCAAAGATGAAATAAAGATCAAAACAGAAATCAATGTGATTGTCACTCTATCATACTAATTGCACGTTTACGTGAACTATCTCCACAGGGAAGATACATAAACAGTGTAATTACAAATAAACACTTAAAACAATGAAATTTTAAATTAACATACCGGGTCATCTGGATTATCATTGGATTGTTGAGACATGGTTGAATTGTGTTCACCATCCATCATCATTTCATTACTAGTTTCATTAAAACTTCCTAATTGATTATCACCATTCTCTCTATTAACTAATTCACTAAGTTTTTGTTTTGATTCAGACATGATAATCAAATAAACTACAGTAAATTGAAATAATTGAAGAAAGTGTATAAATATCAGACTGATACAAATCAAAAAACCTTTTGGTTTCTCAGGCAAAAATCAGGCAATTTTCACAAAAAAATAGGTACTGACATCTGCTAGCAACAAAATTTATCACTACTTCAAAGAAATAACAAGAAAAACAGTGGCATCTATCAAGATAGATATCAACTATTGAAGCTGAAATTTCAGTGAATGTTGATAAATTGTTTACAATTTATCAACAAAAACAAAAGTCTGACAAATTTCGGAAAATGAAATACTTAAATTTACCTTTGATTGTTTATGGTATTCCTAAAAGGTTTTGTTGAACACAAAATAAGCAAACTGTGATGATAAGCAAACTAACAAGTTGTAAGTTGTAAAATTTGTCAAGTCGACGATTGTTGATGTGAATCAAAACTGAAATGCTGTTCTGTTGAAAATTTAGAACCTTTATATCCTTTGACAACTGCGTTAAGACACTTTGTAAAGCAAGATAAATCGGTTTAAACGTAAACTGATTAACCAGGTTGATCTACTTTAAATAAAACGCATTAATATCAGGGAAGGATTAAAAGGCTTTAGGGTTTGGAGGTTTAAAATCGAGTCATGAATTGTCATCTTTATCATCTTATTTTTCTTTATTTTACATTGACTCAGAACTCAACATTTCTGTGTTGAAATTTAAAACGTTTAATATAAATATTAATCTTGTTAACCAAATATTAAAGCATCTTTTTATTATTGCGTTGATTCGCGATGATTTAACTAATCATCAACGATAGATGGAGCTTTTCACTATCTTCTGATGTTGCAATGGTTATGTTGTTTTTCCATAGATGGTGCTTTTTTTGTCAGCTTTGATGCAATTTAAAACAATTTGTTTTTAAAATTAATTGATCAATTAAAAGAAAAAAATAGCTTGATTGTTTTCAGCATCCTCCGATTATTAAAATATTTATCTTCCTCTGTTTCTCTTCTTCATCTTCTCTACTTTCTCCTCGTCTTTCTTCGTCTCTTTCTTTATTCTTTCTTCATTCTTTCTCACGCTTACTTTGCTTTCCATTTCTCTCTCCCTCTGACTTTTACTCTCTCAAGAGCACTTTTTTGGCTGGAATTGTGTGTTGTCTTTTTGCCTGTTTATAAAAAAAATCTTATTTTATCCTTTTTTATTTTGGAAAGTCCATTAGAAAAATATCTTGGATTAAACAACACTGATCCAAATGAAGTTAGTAGAATCAGTTGTAACCAATTTTAGGTATGCCAAAATATTTCGGGAGAACACTGAGAGGATTAACTCAATTGATTTCTCAGCAAATGGTGAAACCCTCATAACCTCATCTGATGATGACTCCATAGTTATTTATGATTGTGAAAAGGGTACCACTAAGAAAACGTTGAATAGCAAAAAGTACGGCGTTGATTTGGTGCATTATACACATGCAGCTAATACTGCCATCCATTCAAGCAATAAAATAGATGATACCATCAGGTTAGTTTATTTTTCACTTCTCCCCCCTTCTTCCGATCATCTGAAATTAACATGGTTTTCAATGACTAATTGGCTGCCACAGCCAGCTAAATGTTTAAATATTTTCATCCTGGTTCCAGGTAACTCCTTTCTGATAATCCGTTATTCAGCTTCCAGAATTTGCAACCATTATTTATTTGTTTACTCATTATGCTCTTGAAAATAATCTGCACTTGCACTTGCCAAATCTGATGTTATGGTTCTTTTTTCAGCGCATTTATTTTGTCTATAGATGCAGTTTCTCTTGAAAAAAGCGCTTAAAATTTCAATATCTCATTCTGATGAAATGTCATAGTTATTTTGTTGTCTGATTTCTTAGAAAAAGTTACTGATTCTAGAAATTTAAATGTAAAAGCAATAGAATTAAATTTTACCTGGAAAAAATATGCATACAGATGTACTTAAGCTTTTATACATTCTATTGTTATGTAACCTTTTATACACAATTTTGCCTCTATTTTGAAAATTCTTATTTACCTGTTTTTCTCTATTTTTTACAGATATCTTTCATTACCTGACAATAAATATATTCGATATTTTCCTGGACACACCAAAAAAGTGGTCACACTATGTATGTCTCCTGTCGACGACACCTTCTTGAGTGGTTCCTTGGACAAGACAATCCGCCTCTGGGATTTGCGTTCACCCAATTGTCAAGGTTTAATGCATCTCATGGGACGTCCTGTCGCTAACTTTGACCCTGAAGGTTTAATTTTTGCTGTTGGAATCAACAGTGAATCAGTAAAATTGTATGATCTCAAATCTTTCGATAAAGGACCTTTCAATACCTTTAAATTACAACAAGATAAATTATGTGATTGGACTGGTCTCAAATTTTCACCCGATGGTAAAATGATTATGATCAGCACGAACGGGAATGTTATTCATCTAATCGACGCTTTCCAAGGTACACCTCTTCAAACCCTAATGGGTCATGTGAATGCTAAAAATTTACCATTGGAGGCATCGTTTTCGCCTGACTCACAGTTCATCTTCAGTGGTTCTACGGATGGTAAAATTCATGTCTGGAACGCTTTAACTGGAAATAAAGTTACAACCTACTTAGGCGAACACACATCAACTGTTCAATGTGTTCAATTTAATCCTAAATATATGATGCTCGCCTCAGCTTGTACAATGATGCACTTTTGGATACCTGGTACATGTGATGAATAAAAAGTTAACCGGCAAAGAGACCGAAAAACGTAAATGTAAAATTTAAAGAAATGAAAAGGAAAAGGAGAAATAATAAGAAGTTAACAAGGAGATGCAAGTAATAAAAAACGGAAATAAAGTAGGGAAAAAAGATTATAAAAGAATAAAAACTGGATAATAAAGAAATGAACAAAATCTCTTAGGTGTGAAACCTGTTCAGGGCTGCTACTTGAATTCATTGAACAATCAAACATCTGAAGAAAGGAAGATTTCATTTTCCCACCTTCTTCCTCTCCTTTTCTTTCTCATCCTATCATCCTTGATTATAACTATTCCATTATTCATTTTTTGCTTTCCCATCATGCTAAGACGAAAAAATACATCATTACGTCCTTTTTTGTATTGACAATTGTTCACAGAATCAAAAACAAAAAGTTATTAACTATCACTATTTAATGATTTAAACTAATGTAAATGAAATGTTGAGTTAATAGTATATCTATTGGCATTAACTGTTTAGTTGGACGATTGAATTTTCTCATTTTCTTCATCATTTAATCCTTTTCCCTCTTCATCTTAGCATATTTTCTCAATTGCTTTCTTTATTGTCAACATCTCTTCATTGCCTCTTTCTTTACTCAAATTCTACTTCATTTCACCATATTGCTCTTCCAAGTCAATGTTGTCATTAAAACCAAATTCATTTAAATTTTTAAATTGAAGAATTTTATTCAAATCTCTTGATGTTAATATTCACAATCATTTTATTGGTAAATCATCGGTGTTAAACAAAATTTAAATTTCTATGAAAAAAATCAACTTTTGGCAATTGCCATTATTATTTACAAAGGAGTGTAATCCAGAGAATCATAAGAGTCGTCACCTGATTCAAATTCAGCCCATTTACTGCGCTTTGCTGGCACTGATTTCGATCCTTTCTCTTCGACCTGAGAAGAACTTGGCTTTTGTTTAATCTGAGTCATACTCAAAGATGAAAAAAAGGTAGGATTCGTTTGTGGTGACTCTTTGGGTGACGTGGAGTAGGATGGTGATAAGTCATCTGTCGTTTTCGTATTCGAATTTTCATTAATTCCGTTATCAGGTTTGCCTTGAGAAGCATTTATTTCTCTGATCATCTCGTTTTCATCTAAACCATCGAAGTCCCCATAATCGTCGAAATCATCGAAATCGTCAAGATTGTCGAAATCATCAGGATTGTCATCCATTGAGGATCTTTTGGGATTTTTATGTTGCCTTTCAGGTGAACAAGGTGAATCACTTAATCGATAGATTTCATCATCACTAGGGATTGTTTCAGGTTGTTTCTCTGCTGGTATCTCATTGAAAGACGATGACGCTGACTCTATCCTTGAGTTTGGTTCATCTTCTTTATCTTCAGACATATTTAAATCTTCTAAACCTTCAGTAGAATCAATATCATTCTTTTGTTCTTTTTTTCTTCTTTTTGAAGAACTAACTGCATTTGGAGACTTAGAAGAACGTTTTCCTTTTTGCTTAACTTTAGGGGTTTCATCATCTGAAACATGGGCAACTAATTCATCATCACCATCATCTTGGAAAATGAATCGATTTTTACGTTTTTTGGCTGTGCTACCAACAGAAGATCTCGTACTTTCAGTGCTTTTTCTTTTAACTTCTTTTGTTGAGCTCCGTCGCTTCTTTGTACTTTTTTCCTTTTCCAGTCTCGCCCCATTAGATTCATTCTCCCTCTCTTCATCATTACAACCAGTTTCTTCAGTCTCTTTCCTGATTCCAAGATGTAATTTGCGACAATTTGGTTTCAGTCCCTTAGGATATAGTCTAATATTCCCTTGAAACAAGTCTTCTTGTTTAATTCCACTCAATAAGTTAGTTGCAACTCTTTTTCTATTATAAACACTATCATTGAAAGCCTCTTCCTCTTTACCTGCTGTTGCAAGAACAATGATTCTCCCTTCGCGAGCTCGACCAGTTCGACCCATACGTTGAACTAATCGGATTGGAGACTTATTGGCATCGTAACAAATGATGAGATCAACATTACCAATATCCAATCCTTCCTCAGCAACACAGGTAGCTACTAACACATTAAAATCACCATCACGAAAACGATTGATTACTTCCAATTGTTGTTTCTGAGAGAAACCTTTTCTTTTAACACTACTTTGACCAACAAACTGAACTGGTCTAATTTTAGGTTCATGTTGTCGCAGCAAGCATGTTATTTCATCGACACTGGCACGAAATTGACTGAAAATCATAATTCTTGTGTCTTCTCCTTCTTTCTCAAAGTGATTCAACACAATTTCTTGCAATTTAACTAGTTTTGGATGACCAGGTACTGAGTGAATAGTGCCTTCAAGATTGCCGCTAAAAGTTACGTTACCATCAGGTTCAAATTTTGTCTTTAAATCATCCATAATTCCTTGTAAAATAGTGTTCTTTTTCAATATATTAGCTAAGTTGAAATGTTTCTTAGGAGTACCATCTTCCCCACGATTTCCTTTAACATGGTTATAAAATGATCGTAGTCCATGATTTTTAAGTAAGTCTAAAGCATAGACAAGACTAGTGGTTATAGCGAATGTGAATCGAACTGAGTTCAATAGGCCAATAGGTATATTGTGTTGTCCAGCTTCATAGTTTTTCTTTTGCATCAATAAATAAAATGAAGAAATGCGGTTGAGATCATAGCCATTGATAGCTCTACGTTTAACCAAAGTTTTCAAATTTTCTTCAATGATTTTGAGCAACTGATCACGATAATATGAAAGCTCTTCATCTAATTGGACCACAATAGTTTCAACTCGACGATTATGTGTGTATTTTTGAACGTCCAGGGATTCTTCCGAACGAAATTCAATTTTAGAAATAAGCAAATTTTTTAGCACTTGTTTTATATGAATAAGGTCTTTTCCGGGTGTAGCAGATAAAGCTAATACTCTAAATTGATTATTCCTACGATGAACTTCCTCAATAACTCGAGTATATGCATATCCACCAGTTGCTTTATGAGCTTCATCAACAACAATACATTTAATTTTTTCGGCAGGACAATAATCATTCAAAAATAAGTCATTTTGCATGACTTGTGGAGTCAAGAAAAACAATCTCTTGGTTTCCCATTCATCCTGTCGTTTAAATGGAGTTGTATGTCCTAACAAAAAAACAAAGAAATTCAATATTAAAAATTGATATAAAATTGCTGAATTCGTCAATTAAGAAAGCAATGCAATTTAATACCTGTTAACTCGACAATGTCTTCTCGGGGTATTCCAACAATATCAAAACAAGCCTCCATTTGTTGTTTGACAAGAGGTCGAGTAGGAGCCATAAAAACAATTTTACATTGTGGATACCATAGGTAGAAATTATACATAACAACAGCAGCAATCAGAGTTTTACCTAAACCAGTTGGTAAAACAACAAGTGTATTGTTGAACAAAGCTTGATGGACAATACAGTATTGGTAATCACGAATCTCTCGGTTGATCGGATATATCCAATGACGTCCAGCGTGGTAGTCAAAACCTTCAAGTTTTTCAATTTTACCACTGGCTAATCCATCTTGGACTTCTTCTTCCGATTGTGCCATGATTTCAGTCATGTTGAAGCGATGATTTATATACCAAGCGTTTAACGGTTAAAACTGAGGCGGAAGGTAGTAAAAATGAATGCAAAACAAAATAACTAGGCAATGGAAAAAGGACAACAGACAATGGACGGTAAATGTTTATAAGTCAAAAAGAAGAGCACAGTAATATCAGTAATAACGTCGAATAAGGAACAATACGTAGATTAACAAACAAACTGTCTCGAAGAAACATCACAAGCAAAAAGTTATAAAATAAATAAACAAAAATATGATTACTAAACGAGCAAAATTGCAACAACAGAAAAGTGACTAACAGGTCCCGCCAATTTGTTGTTTTGGTCATCTGGTTGTTTCTGGTTACGCGGTAAGATATGTGTGACAAATAGCTCATGCATTTCTTAAGTTTACTGGCATCTAGTGATGACTATTAAAGTTTATATTTCATCATTTTTAATTATTTTCCATTTTCTGATAATAATTTCTAGTAAAAATAGTCTCTCTGTGTTGATAAAATCCAATAATTATCTTATTCGCCATTTGGATCCTTATATTGTGACCATATCATGTGATTTTACATCAATATTCTTGAGGTTTCTTGCTTTCTAATCTTAACTTTGGTAGTATTGTGAGTTATGTTACCAATTATCAAAACATGTTTAACTCAAATTTTTTACAAGAAACGTGATAAAAGGTCAATCTTGGAACTAATTTTAGGATATAGGCTGCTTTTATTATTTTAAACATAAACTTGATCATTCATCAATAAGTAATCAGTGAAAGATACAAGGAACCCAAAAATGCCAAAAGATATTCATTTACCAATAAAAGTTTACATAAGAATGCTACAGATTTGAAAATCACGAGTAGAAATTAATTAAAGAAGCAGACCGAAGCCTTTAATTAAATTCATTGTGAGTATTGAAGATAAGATCAAAGAAAATGAAATTATCGTCATTTTCATTGAAAATTCTGTAGACGAAATAGAAAGCTGAAGTGATGAAATAAAGTTCATTGAATGGTAAGCAATGAAAAATGCCTTCTGAATCAAATTAAATTTATAAAATCATTTATTTCAGTAATAATGTCAACTTTGAAGCATAGAGGTTACAAATAATTGTAGTTATACAACGCAATTGACTAGGGAATTTTTAATTTCATTTAGCTTTTCAAACAGAGTTTGGACTTGCTGTTGATCCGCAAGATTGATTTGACCAGGGAATGCAATTGATGTGCAAACCTGCGATGATTGTGGGCATCTTCTTGCTGATCGTAGTTCTATCATGCTCATCACTATCTTGATAACTTCTTTAGCATTAACATTGAACATTCCGTGTTGTTGAACGCGTCCCTTCTCAGCTTCTCCAGGTTTCTCATAACTTCCAGCATACGCCTTTTTGTGTTTACCACCCAAGCCAAGATGTTGAATTAGCTGTTCAACTAAAATTTGTTGAACCTCATTCTTACCTAAACCACTTTGAACCAAACTTTGAGCTGAAGTACAAATATCAGTCAATGTTGAACCAGAAATCAGGAATGGAGTCTCTTCATGACCAAAACCGCCTTGAAAATACAATAATGTTCATTAATATCAAGATACAATATTTCAATTTTCAATACTTACAGTGAATGAAGGAAACAAAGACTAAAGCAACAACTTGGTATAAAGTGATGGACTTCATGATGAAATTTAATAAATCGACTCGTGATAAAGTAGAGTGGAAATAACGAGCAGAAATAAATTCGCCGATTTATATTCTCACAGACAAACTAAATCTAAATTTCTAATTCAGTAATTATAATTTAATGCTACTTCAATATCACAACAAACGTAAACCATAATTTGCCAGAATTAATTTCCACCTGAAAAAATCTCACCTTTCAAGCCTACTTGAATAATTCACAAATTATTGTCGAGCCATACTGTTAAACAGTTGTTGAACAAGGTTCTAATTATAATCATTACGAAGATGTTCAATCAATGAATTAATGTGTGGTCATTATGTTTGTCTAACAGTTGATTCAGTTGATAACAAATCATCGAAAGCTTTCCAGGGTTGAAATGTTGACGATACAAGTCTTTGGTTTAATGATACTTTTCACTGTCACTATTGATGGTAAATAAATTGACCTTTTTCCTTTGATGTTCAATTTTTATATTTTTTATCCTTCTTTATCCTTCTTTTCAGGTGATACAATTGGTGACCAACAATTGTCTATCAAAGGGTCAATCCTTAAAGACATCTGTTTCTCAACTCAGAATCTGTTAAGTGAACGGCAAAATGAGACTGATGTAAAATCAATTTTGATACATCAACTGAGTTCATCATTGAAATACGAGACAACAGTTGAACCAAAACACAATCAAGTTTCCAAAGAAGCTGTCATGGCTGGCTTTTCGAATGTCCTTTTTCATGATTTGGTTAACTTTATATTTAATGTTGCTTCATCTTCTGTAAAAGCTCGATCAGGTGAACGGATGAATCGATTAAATTATCCACCACTGACCAAGAAACCTGACGATTGTCCTTCATTCTGTTCAATCATCCAATTTCCCCCCACAGTCAACATTACATCTCTATCAACACCAATACTGGTCACTGTTGATACTTCGGCCTTTATTCAGACCCTTGTTTGTCATGGGCTCAATTCAGCGTCCAAAGGCAAGAATAAACAATAATGTCAATAAAATAATCACTACATTTTATGATTGATCCAATTAATCGTTGTAATGTCAGTTGAAATAAACATTTAATTCCTGAACCTTAAAATATGAGATTTTATTACCCAGTTTTAATCCGGTTAACAATTGAAATGCAGTTTGTTTCATGCATGTTTTTCAGAAGAATATTTTTAAGATTAGTTTCCGTGAATTATTGATTATTATTTCTCAATGTAATGTTGAATTAATCAGAATTTATTTTATTGTTTAAGGACTTCAAGGAAAAATAAAAGTCAATTACAGTTAGTCGCATGAAAATTTTTGATCAACAGTTAGTTTCAGCTCATCTTTATATTTGCATTTGGTTTTATTGGTTTGTTCAGGTAAATATTATCCTCTATAAATTATCCAATGTAACGTAAATTGTATACGATTGAATCTAATTGTGATTGATCCAGAATATTGACTTGCTCTGGGATTCCTAAACTTGAACAGTCAGTGAATTTTCGCTTATGAGGACAAGATGAGCTACCGATTAAACCCGTCATGACAGTGAAGAACTTTTCAATATTAAGATTGATCATGCCCTCTTGTTCGAGTTCCGGTTTCTCTTTCCTAAAAAGTCCCTTTTTGGTAAAATACTGGTTGAATTGGTCAGTTACAAATTTCCTTATTTCTTGCACATTCCAATTGGTCTTGAGCTTGTCCTGAGCTGCCTCACAGACTTTAACCAATTCAGAGCCAGGAATCAAAACATCAGGTCGAGGAGCTCCATCGATTCCTAAAGATGAGAGGATTAAACAATAAAGTAAGACAAATATGAATTAGTTAGGTCTAATTATTAGAATCGTCTTATAATACTTACCATGAATGAAAGCATATAATGTCAAAAATTGAAGGAAAGTAATAAAGCTCTTCATGTTGCTAATATCTCTTTTGTCGAAGCTGAAAACTTAATAATCAATAAAACTGCGAACGAAAATCATCAACTTTTATTCAACGCCTTTAATCAAATAGATGTGTTCTCGTTATGGTAATCTTCTTCGATATAATTTCAATGCTCTAAACATTTGTTTTATTTTTTTGCTGCTGCTAATGTAACATTTGTCAGTCTAAATATTCATGAGATTTGAGGTGATCCAAAAAGCAGAGTAATCTAAATGTTCTTGTTGAAAGTCCGTTATCTTTTCAGCTTCTAAAGAGTTCAATGATATATTTATGCACAAATATTACATGATGTTTCAAAAGGATGTCTGCATGCTATACTGTAATACATTCTGTAAATTTTCTGTTCTCTTTTCAAAAGTCGCCACTCGATTGAAAAGCAGCTCAAAAGCTGCTAAACATTAAATTGGGCTTTGGTTTGATAAGAAAAATTGGCACAAGCAAATGTTTGGATTAATATCTCTATCTGATAGCTATAGATATAAAGTTAATTGATTAATTATCTATAAGTTATAAAATTGAAAGAAATATAATTTTAACAATAACTTTATAGGTTTGATCCCATGGAGTCTTGGTGAATGCAAAAGCCTCAGGATATGGTCGTGGTGAAACCGTAACAGCAGTTATACTTGAACGAGTCTGTGATGCTCAACGGGTTCATGCTCATTTGATTTATGCATCTACAAATTGTGATGGCTATAAATCACAAGGAATTACTTATCCATCATGGAAGGCGCAAGCCAATTTAATTGATCGATGTTACCAACAAGCATCTATTGATCCAACAGAGATGCATTTCTTTGAGTGCCACGGAACCGGAACAGAAGTCGGTGATATGGAAGAAGTTAAAGCTATATGGTCAATACTGGGCAAAAATCGTCCTCATTCAAATAAACCTTTGCTACTAGGGTCAATAAAGAGTAACTTAGGCCATTGTGAATCCGCTTCGGGCTTGCCTTCATTAATTAAATGCCTATTAATTTTGAAATACAAGTCAATTCCACCAAATCTTCATTATGAGCAACCTTCACCACGTATTCCAGAATTCCAGAATTACTTGAAGGTTTGATAGCACCGGTTTTAAACGTAACTCCTTGGTGATCGGATGAATCGATTAAATTATCCACCGCTAATCAAGAAACCTGACGATTGTCCTTCATTCTGTTCAATCATCCAGTTTCCACCCACAGTCAACATTACATCTCTATCAACACCAATACTGGTCACTGTTGATACTTCGGCCTTTATTCAGACTCTTGTTTGTCATGGATTCAATTCACATTTAATTTCTAAATTAAACTGTGAGTTAAATTTATTACCCAGTTTTAATCAGATTAACAATTGAAATAAAAGATGCAGTTTGCTCCATGCATGTCACTTAACAGAGTGTTTTGAAGATCACATTAGTTTCCGTGAATTGTTGATTACTATTTTTCAATGTTGAATCAATTAAAATGAATTTTATTGTTTAAGGAGGAAAAAGAGTTCAATACAAATTAGTCGCCTAAAAGTAACGTAAATTGGCTATCATTGCATTTAATGTTGATTGATCCAGAATATTGACTTGCTCTGGGATTCCTAAACTTGAACAGTCAGCGAATTTTTGCTTTTTCTCACAAAATGAGCTACCGACTAAACCCGTCATGACAGTAAAGAACTTTTCACAATTCAGATTGATCCAACCTTCTTGTTCGACATCCATTTCCTCTCTTCTAAATAGTCCCTTTTTGGTAAAATACTGGTTGAATTGGTCAGTTACAAATTTCCTTATTTCTTGCACATTCCAATTGGTCTTGAGCTTGTCCTGAGCTGCCTCACAGACTTTAACCAATTCAGAGCCAGGAATCAAAACATCAGGTCGAGGAGCTCCATCAATTCCTAAAGATGAGAGGATTTAACAATAAAGTAAGACAAATATGAATCAGTTAGGCCTAATTATTAGAGTCGTCTTATAATACTTACCATGAATGAAAGCATATAATGTCAAAAGTTGAAGGAAAGTTATAAAGCTCTTCATGTTGCTAATGTCTTGTCTGTTGAAGCTGAAAACTTGATAATCAATAGAACGGTGAACGAAAATCATCAACGCTTTTATTCAATTCCTTTAATCAAATGAGTTAAAGTAATTTTTCCGATAAAATTTGAATCTTCTAAACATTTGTTTCATTTTTGCTGCTGTTAATGTAACATTTGTCAATCTAAATATTCATGAGATTTGAGGTGATCCAAAAAGCAGAGTAATCTAAATGTTCTTGTTGAAAGTCCGTTATCTTTTCAGCTTCTAAAGAGTTCAATGATATATTTATGCATAAATATTACATGATGTTTCAAAAATGAGGTCCTTATGCTACTCTGTAATACATGTAATGATTATACTTCTCTGGTCTCTTTTCAAAAACCTTTTCAGCCCATTAAAGTAAATCTCAAAAGCTGCTTAATTTTAAATTGAGCTTTTTTATTAGAAAAATCGTTATGACACAAGCAAATGTTTAATGCACATCTCTATTTGAATGCACTGGATAGTTATTATGACAAACAGCGTTTTTTCAAATTTTTTATCGGAAAAAACATTTTCATTAATAAGCATCAAATTTTGATATATCACTAAATCTCTAACCAATAAACTAACCGATAAACCAATAACCCATCCAAGGCAATTTGTATCCTCATCCTTTTTTGATCAGATTGGGTGCCAAACTTTTTGAAGAAAATGTTGCCAGCTGTTGATTCAGGTGAAAACTTGATTTTTTCTTATATAAATACTCATATTATGAATATTTGATTTTTAAGAGAAATGAAAAAATAAAGTTTACATCTCAATTTAATATTAAAAAATTAAAATTAAAAAATTACCGAAAATCTGGTATACAAAGCTGTCCTACTATTGCCATCTATTATGTTATTTTATAGTTATCAAATAATGCTTTAAGCCAAATTACGAATCGTTAGAATTGTGTTCTTTGTATTTTTTAAATTATAACTCTTTCCTTTTGAACATATGTAAATGGTGTTAAATCAAAGTTAATTGGGATGCTGTCTGTGAATAGAAGGAAATAAAATATTAATTGATGATGAGGTTTCATGATCAGTTTTTTGCAGCGATATCATCTTTCGCTTCTTGTATAAATTTTCTACCGTTGGCTTACATGGATTAATCTCGTTTTTTAAACAATTGTTGCTATTTCTCTTAAGTTAATATGGATAAGAAACCAGAAATTGTGATATCAGGTGTATCTGGTCGTTTCCCTGATTGCTCCAACATTGAGGAACTGAAAGATAAATTATACAATGGTGTTGATATGTTGATTGAAAATGAAGAAAGATGGCCAAAAGGTAAGTCGTCAGATTAGTGTACTTTTGCTTTACACAGTTTTTAAATTAATTTAGTTTCATTCATACAAATTACTTATTTAGATTCTGATTTTAACTGTGTTCTTTATTTCAAATTTCATTCTAGGTACTTATGGATTACCCTCAAAAAGTGGTATTTTGAAGGGCTTACACAATTTTGATGCTTCGTTTTTTGGTCTATCTGACAAGGAAGCTGACCTTCTTGATCCTTCTATACGGTTCAGTATTGAAACAATTTTTGAAGCTCTTTGTGATGCAGGTAAGACAAAGAAAAATTAACAAAAGAAGTAAAACTTAATAAGTCAATTTAACTTTAACTACAATATTTCTATTGTCAAAATAAATATATTGTGGTCAGTTAACATTAGGTAGAGAGAAAATCGGATTAGTTTATTGTTATACCGATATGTATGTCTATATGAGGAACATAAACTCGAGGAAGTCCATCAAGTTTTATTTATGATCACAAAAGAAATGAAACATGTAGTTATTACATATTTGTTATAACACTTCTGGTTCATCAATTTTTGCCAACATTGAATGAAATCTGTCAATGCTGAGTTGAATTTCTATTACGATTGCGAATTTACTTAATAGATATTTTTTATATTACAATAAATTGAGCTCAGATGAGCTACAATTATTTAAAATGCTATTAATTATCGAAAAATTATGAAATTCAAAGAAATATCATTTTAACTATAACTTTTTAGGCTTGAACCCATGGAGTCTTGGTGAACGAAAAGTTGGTCTATTTTATTCTCAAATGTACAACGAGATTGATCGAAGTTTGGGATTAAATGACGAAGAAGCTTTATCTTTTCCTCAACTGTTAGAACGTTTAGTGGCTTATATATTTGACATAAAAGGTGGAGTTTTTCTTTACGAAACAGCTTGTTCATCAAGTGTGACCACATTAAATGAGGCCTTTGTCCAGTTAACGCATGGTTGCATTGACTTGGCCATTGTATGCGGTGCAAACATCCTCTGGTCTCCATCCTACGCTCTATTCTTTCACAGACTCGGGCTGACATCTCAGGATGGTACTTGTAGGTTTCTTGATTCAAAAGCCTCAGGATATGGTCGTGGTGAAACCGTAACAGCAGTTATACTTGAACGAGTCTGTGATGCTCAACGGGTTCATGCTCATTTGATTTATGCATCTACAAATTGTGATGGCTATAAATCACAAGGAATTACTTATCCATCATGGAAGGCGCAAGCCAATTTAATTGATCGATGTTACCAACAAGCATCTATTGATCCAACAGAGATGCATTTCTTTGAGTGCCACGGAACCGGAACAGAAGTCGGTGATATGGAAGAAGTTAAAGCTATATGGTCAATACTGGGCAAAAATCGTCCTCATTCAAATAAACCTTTGCTACTAGGGTCAATAAAGAGTAACTTAGGCCATTGTGAATCCGCTTCGGGCTTGCCTTCATTAATTAAATGCCTATTAATTTTGAAATACAAGTCAATTCCACCAAATCTTCATTATGAGCAACCTTCACCACGTATTCCAGAATTACTTGAAGGTTTGATAGCACCAGTTTTAAATGTAACTCCCTTCGATGGTAAATATATTTCCATCAATAATTTCGGCTTTGGTGGAGCTAATGGGCATTTCATCATAGCTGCGTCAGCACCAAGTGAATCTCGAGTAGAGGGGAACAGCGAAATTGAAGAAAGGTCAATTCTTTTGCTTTGTTGTGGACGTAATGAACTTTCTTTGCAAACAATTGTAAATGGTATCATGAATTTACAGCCGAATCAAATAACTCTCCATTTTGCACGACTAGTTAACCGTTATGCTTATAATATGTCTTATAATGCATCCCCACACTCAAAGTCCATGAATTATCGAAGTTACATCATTTCACACCCACTGTCCAGAAAAGTGTCTCCTGTTTGCCAATTACCTTCCTCTCTTCCTCTTTTGTGTTTTACCTTTCCTGGAGCTGGATGCCAAATGGATAACATGATTAAACCTTTCATGTGTTTGAAACCATTTAAAGAATCAATTGAAGACTCACTAGCAATTATTGATCCATTAGGTGTTAAGCATATTCGAGAATTACTCTTTGGGCCAACACAAGGTTTTTGGAAGATTTTTGCTCTTGGCATTTTTCAAATTGCTGTTGTTGATACTCTAAAGTCAATTGGAATTGTTCCTGATATAATTGTTGGTCACTCCTTCGGTGAATTTTGCTGTGCATATGCAGATGGATTCATGTCCAAGCATGAGATTCTTGATATTTGCTATTCTCTTATTAATGTTTGTTACTCAGTTGTTGCCTCTAAAACATTTAAAAGCTGTAAAATGATCTCTATTGGACTTTGTTGGGATGAATTATCACCATTAATCCCCTACAATTTATATCCAGCATGTTTCAATGCAGTCGACAATATTACTCTAGCAGGATTAACGGAAGATGTAGATACATTTGCTGAATTTCTTGCGAAACAAAACATTTTCTTTCGGTTGGTCGATTCATGTGAATGTGGATTTCATACACCAGCATTGAATGAGATTGCGGAAAAATATCGCCAAGAGTTGAGCCACTACTCGAATGTTTACAGGTCCTTAAGCAAGCGATGGATAATTTCCCACGAGTCAAGTTTAGATCTCAATTCATCAATAAATGCGCAAATCTTTTGGGTTGAAGCAATAAGAAATGTAGTCAAGTTTGAAAAGGCTTGCCAGTCAATTCCAAAGGATGCTATTTGTATTGAAATTTCACCCAAAAGATTCTTAACGACATTGTTAAAACGGAATTTGCCTGATTTGGCGGCCATTGAAGTTCCATTTGAGATTGGCATACACCATACACCAAATAATGATACCAATCATGTGCCAGACAGTCTTTTACAATCACTAGGAAACTTGTTCCTGAATGGTTATGATATTAATTTAGATCCTTTGCTCTTCGATCAGCTCAATAGTCCAGCTCCAATTGAGACACCTTTTTTATCACCATTGATTAAACTTGATCATTCAATTCCTCGATTGATACGTCGATTTCCTGAATTTTACAATAACAACTCAGCCCAAGAAAAATTCATCGTTAATCTAACCAAAGAGGGTAATCAGCATTTTGGTTGTTTTTATTATAACGGTCATCAGGTTATTCCATTTTCCGGTCTTATTTATGCAATATGGTCAAAATTTGCATCTTTAACTGCTCAAAACACCAATGAACTACCAATAAGATTAGAACGTGTTAAACTGCGCCAGCTTATTCAGCTTAAGAAAGATCAAAATTCAACATTATCATTTTGTGTCAATTTTGTGCCAACATTTGGAAGTAAATACAATTTTGCAATAACATTACCTTCAACTAATTTAGTGATTATGACAGGTCTTGTGTCTGTTCTTAATGATTCCATTGGTAGTTTGAATGATGCCAATCAAAATGACAATGAAGATTCAAGTAAAGTATACACAAGGCCGAATAACATTGGAAAAAATGTTTTCTATGGAATCCTGTCTCGCTGTGGACTTCATTATCAAGGTGACTTGAGGAATGTTGTCACGGTAAATATTGATGAAATGGAGGGTAAAATGAGTAACCATCAAGATTGGATTGTTCGTATCGAGGCATTGCTACAGCTTGCTAGTTTCGCCAACCAACAAAGTAACCATAAAACGATTTCCAGTATACCCTCACGTTTAGATGAGATTCACTGTGTACCATCAAAATCCATTCAAGGCCTTCAAGAAATTGAGATATTCCGTGATAAGCTATTAGGTGTTGTTGCATCTGATGATATTTACATACGCGGCATACACTTTGGATCATTCCAATTACCCTCACAATTAGATTCTGTGACGTTAAGCGTTGAACAATTCACTCCAAGATTTACCTCTGAGGCCCAAGATTTAGAAACGAGTATCTCAATCATAATGGAACTTTTTTTTGAATTGAACCAGCATCAAATTATAGTATCAATCACAGTGGCAGATGATTATGTTAATGGGACACTTGGAGATTCTGTTAAATATAGACTACAGCAACGGAAATCACCACCTTTAAATTTAATTGAAATTGATTCCATAAACCAATTGACCAACGGCAACATTTCAAGATTAGATGACAATGATATCAGTACAGCAGCCAGCCGTTTGTTGATCCTTGAGACTGATAAAATCAATTTATTTGATTACTTAAGGCAGCTTTTTGGTCCAGTTATATCAAATGTTGACTTTATTATTGTCCTACAAACAATCAAAAATGTTTACAGCCCTGATGAGAAAAATAATATTATTGTTAAAGGGAATAACAATAATGATGAAATTAATAATAATGATATTAATGATTACGAGTACTTCAAGTATTTAGATTTAACAAAGCTTGGATTAGTAATGGTTGCTTGTCACTTAACCAATCAAGGTTACCTTTATCTGATTCGTCGGTCAATTGACCCGGTAATATTGAATGTCAAGAAAGTTAATATTGAGTCACTTGGTTCAAGTACTTTCATGTCTCATGATAATCAGAATGTTGATCAACAAGCAAACATACACTTTTTGATTGTTAATAATTTGTCTTCATCGATGGGTCTGATTGATACACTAGAGAAAGATGATTTAACTGTGAATGATGAAAAACAGAAAACACAATTGAAATGGTTGATTAATGAGACGAGCAACTTTGATGGAAATGACATTAAACATTGTTTAGATGAGCTTATGAAAATTGGCTTAACTTACAATGTTTTACGTAATGGTGTTCAAGGAAGCTTCCATTATTTACCAGTCAATTTAACTTCAGACTCTTCGTCATCAAAAGCAAACTCTAAGCTCAACAATCTTGATGACTCTTTGGGTCAACTTTTGTTTCACTCTTCTTTTATCTCGTCTGTTATCTGTTCAAACCAGTGTTCAATCCAGTCCAACTTTAATTGTCATTTAATTGGATTTTCAGGATTAAAAGCTGATGGTTCCACCGAAATTGGAATAATTAGATACAATTCTGTTACATGTGAATATCAAATCATCATTAGTTGGCCATTTAATCAACCAAAATGGTCACTTGAAGAAGCTTCAACCATTCCTTTGCCTTATTACTTGGCATATTATGCTGTTATTATCCGTAGTCGTCTGCAAACCAATGAAACTGTTTTAATTGTAAATGGACACTCACCCGTTGGTTGTGCAATTATCGCAATCGGTTTAAAATTAGAATGCACCTTATACCTGACGGTGGAAACGGAGGACCAAAAGCTATCAATAAGGAAACAATTTCCTTCATTAGGAAATCACCAGTTTATCATTACAGCCACTAGTGAAGGAATTGAGCAAACAATTATGGATATAAATAATGGTCACGGATGCGATTTAGTTGCTAACACTATGGTTTTACCTGCTATAAACAATGACGTTCAAGGTTACACCAGCCCTAGTCAGGTCAAAGGTAACATGGAGTCTATTTTAGAGTGTTTAACTGTCGGTGGAAGGTGCGTTGACCTTAATAAGTCTCCCATGTCGGATGATGATGACCTAGGTTTAGCTGTTTTCCTTAAAAATATAACTTACCATGGGGCTACACCGGAAGGACTTTTTCAAGCACTAACCACAGATGCAACAGGAAACAGTTTTAAAATTCATCAACAAGTTATTGATTTAGTGCATAAAGGTATAGCCAATGGAACAGTTTGTCCGTTACCCAATTCAAGAGACCTTCACAAGATTGAATTGAGCGATTACAAAAACCGGTTTAATCATCAACAGTCTACACCAGATAAGCCCATGGTTGATATTATCTTTGGTCAACCAGGTGATATTGAACTCGAAATCATTAAACACTCTGAGCGTACAGACAAAGTCTCTAATTTTATCATTTTAACTTCAAGTAAATCTTCAAAATTTACGACAATTTTTCCATCATCACCTTTTACTTCTGCCTCTTCAAACTCACCAGTATCATCCTCAGTGTCAAACTCATTACTATCACCACCAGCATCATCATTATCACCATTGTGTTATCATTCATCCATTATCAATCAACTTGGATTATTAGATGATTCATCCGTTAAGATTTTCGATTTCATTGAAACAATCGATAAGAAAACCAAATATGATCAAGTGTTGAAAGATATTTCACACAATTATACAGTAAACAAAGTATTCCTTGTCTACCGAGGATCTCACCAGGACAACCATCAGTTCAGAAGCCAATTAATGATTGAATTATTGGATTATATTACCAATTCAGAGGAACTCTCGATAAACTTTCTCACCCTCATCTCATGTTCCCTGTCTCAAGGTATATATTTATTTCAGATTATGAAAATCATCTATAAAATAACGACAATCTGCCATTCTGAGTTGCCTTTTTACTTCATTTTTTTATTATTCAATACCGACTTACACTGTGTCACCCCAATGGTCTGGTTATGATAAGAAGACCCAACAGTCTTGTTTATTTTATTATTAACTTTATTTTCCTTCTTCCTTTTTACACTCATAGACTTTTTTCACAGACTTTTCTTGTTGTTAGAGGTTTGGTAACAGCAACCATTGGATGTTCAATCAGATAGACTGATAAAAAAATACAGACTGGTGGTAAAGCAGCAGAATAAGAAGAAGAAGAAGAGGGCAATGATGATAACTATAAGCAAGAAGCAGAATGAGAGGCACATAAAAAAGAGAGCTGTTCTTGTGATTGTAATTAAATTCAAACGTCTGGATAACTCAATGATTGACTGAATCGGCTTTTGACCTGGAAAATAAATTATGAAAAAACGAGTCAATCAGGAGGAAAACAGGCGATGACAGAAATAAAAATGAAAGGCAAATAAAGATGACTCTAATTGTACCAAATGAGACTAGGAATATATTAATAAGTCATGGAGGTTGATAATAAAGGGGCAAATGATACAAACTGATGTTTCACAGACAGTCAGTAAAAAAGGAAGAAAGAGAAAAAGAAAGACAGAGAATACAAAAATTGTACAGTTCAACTGTTTTTATATTATGTACAATATTTAATGACAGTTGCCACAATAATTAGTCTCTCCCTCTTCATCATCTAATTCATCATAATCGTCATATAGCTCCTTCTTCTTCACTCTCTTCTCTTATCTTCATCAATCGTCCAATTTATCTGTCGACGTTTCTTTCTCTTGCATGTTGTGACTTATCTTCTCTTTCCATCACAGGAAATTACTCTTACTGTTTCTTCTTCTCTCTCTTTTCTCTTTTCTTTCTCTATGGACCCATAATGTCCCTTTCCGGTTGTCAAAGTGGGAGACACTTTACGCTGTGATCAACAGTTTGTTGGTTACAATTTTTGCTTGTTAACTGAAAAGACATAATATTAGTGATAAAACAACTAATGCTGGGTTTTGTCTAAACAGAAAGTAATACTAATAATTTGTTCCTATTTGCTTTCTTTCCTAGATTATACTTTTATTTGGCCTCAATTGGTTAGGAAATGTCAACAATATGGAGAGCGGCATGGTATTACTAGTTATGCCGTACATTTGGCTGATTTATTGTCACCCGAACATCCCAATTACTGGTTCCAACTTGATCAGTACATAAGTAAACTGTATTATCAACTAATTGGCACTAAAAGAGCTAATGGTGTGTACAAATTAACCTCCAAGATCAACAATTGAAGGCAACTTTCAAGAGGCAACGTTCAATGCAAATATGGAGGGTAAAAAAAACATGATTATCCAATTTTATCAGCAAAAAGCAACTACAAAAAGTGACATTTAAAGACAAAGTAAAGCTTTCATGGCATTCACCTCGTTCTGAGTACATTGATGGCTTCTATAAAGATCACTATCAGGACGGAGAATGAAAGAGTTGATGTTGGGACAACTTTTGAACTTTACCAGTAATCATTAAATCAACCACAGGGAAATAAAGTCGCTTGATTGACATTAAAGAGCTCACAGAAATAGGTTAAGACTTGAATAAGTAGTTTATGGCACATTAATGCTTATTTCAAGTTGTCTGTCTATTATGACGTTGAGTAAAAAAACCATCGTTCATTGTAATACATTGTTAGATTACAATGTAAAAATCTTTTCATTTGTTGTCAAAATTTTAAATTTCCAACTGTTTTGTTAAGTTTTTTATTTTCAAAAATAATCTTTGTTGACCTGATTATTAAAATTCTGTGCGTTTTAGTTCAAAAATTGAAATTCATTTTGTTGCTTTATTTTGTAACATTGATTTTCAACCGGGAATTGTTGTTTAAACATAATGAAACATTGACAAATAGTTAATTGAGCTAATTAAGGTTAAAAATTGTATTTCAATTGTTTGAGCAATACACTGTTCAATTGACTAGATTGCGATTTTCAAGCAAATAATTTATCTTTGACGACATTTAAATAGTTTTCAAGGTATTTCATTTGTTTCTCTCGTTGTTTGAATCCACTTATTGCTACTCTGAGAACGGCTTTTTGTACCTCTGATTGATTTTCAATATCAAGTGACTCTGGAAAATCAAGATTTGAACATTCATTAGCAGTTAAGGTTGAAACAACTTGTTGAACAACACCAGCAACTGAATCATTTCCAGAGACAGATGAGTCAACATTGGCAGTTTCTGTTGAAACAGATGGCGGTGAGATATTGGAAAAATCATCAGGAAGTGAATCGGGAAAAGTTGAATTGATTAATGAAGGTTCTAGTCCATCAAACGTATTATCAGGAAGAGATGGTAAATCGGAGTCCATCGGGGAAGCAGTAATAGCCACAGAAGGAGATGTTGAAGTCTCACCAGGTACTGTAGGTTTTTTGATGTCACTCAACATACCCAGTATTTGAGCGAATGTATCATAATCAGGTTTAAAATTAGTAATTGCAATTATCTGAGACATACCATAATTGTTAGCTGTGACATGAACCATCTCTCTTCTGGATGACGCTCCTTTGGCAAGATAACTTTTAATATCATCGATAATGGCTTCGGCTACTCTACCTTTACCAAGGCCTAGGTTTCGAGCTGAACGGGCAGTTTCACACAAGCGGACGAGAACAGATTTAGGTAAAGTAACACTTAAACAGGCTGAGATAAATAGAGAAATAAATGATAAAATTAGTAATCAGATTGGTTTGTTTACTTTTCATGTTGGGTAAAGATTGTGTATAGATAAAGTACATTAACATGTGGCTTTAAGTATAAATTGCGCTTACTTGATATTAAGGCTGAAATAGCAATCAATTTAATGAACAATTTCATTTTGATTGATAATTTGGGGATCCTGTTGTTTTTGCACCTTCCAATTGTTGATAATTAACTGAATAAACACACAAATTAAGGTACAATTTATATGAGCAACATTAAAATAACCTTTGTAAAATAACATGTTAATAGGAAAACAGAAAGAGCGGTTGAATAAAGATGGTAAAATGACCTGTTGATGCCAAATGTTTTTCTCATTTAGTTTCTTTATGCTAATCAACATTTAATTTGATTATGTTCATTACATGTTAATTAAAGGTTCTGTTGGTAAAAATTAAAATGTTGCCATAATTGGTATCATTTGGGTAAAAGTAAAGTCTCTTTACATTGTCAGTCCATTATGAAAGGAATCCTGCTATTGTCACTCATTTTTCCCAATCAAGGCAACATGAAGTACAGTCGCTATTTCAACAACTGTTAATAATGTTTACATTTTAATAAAAACTAAATTATGCAGAACTGATCAGAACGAATAATTGCATTACAAAAGGTGATTAATAATTAATGTAGATGGCAAACTAATTGCTACATAATAACGATCGATTGACTGGCAATCCAACTACAACTGTATGAACCTCATAAGTTAGATTCGGACAATTTCAATGATTAAAGTGCTCCAATATGTTAAACCGTTATTTGTGTAGAGTTACACTGAAAACTATACCTTATATTAAATAATACTTAAATCGGTAATTGGTAAATAGCATTTCTTTAACCAAGTTGAGGTGAAATTGAATACGATTGCGTTCAAAATAACCATATTAAAAGCGATTTCATAAATTTATCCATTATTTTGATTTATTAAAACATATATTTTAGTCTTTTATTTTTAATGAAATGAAATCAGCGATCACAATGTTGAACCATTTAATGATGATCATTAAGATTCTTGATTGTCAATTGTATTTGAATAGTTTTCAATCAACTGGATAGCTTTTTGGACATCATTTTGATTTTCAATTGCAATTGATTCTGGTGAATCAATATTTTTATATATTTAGTGCACGGGAGTAAATGAAGGAACGACTTCTGGATTTGCATTTGAAACCAAATCAGAACCAGAAACAAACGAGTTTAGATTAATTGTAGCATTTGATTGGGGCAATTTGAAGAGGTTGTAAATTAGTAAGCAAAATAATCAGTGAAGTTGTGGTGGGGTAGATTAATTCAAAGCAGATTGTATGGATAAAATCGGAGGATTGGTGAAATTTCAGGATAATTTTGGGGGAGATCGAGTTGATCTAACCGCTAAACCAGTCTAATATAGCAAATAAAACTCCTACTTGAATAATTCCTGCGTTTTCAACATTAAACTGTTACATGGAACCACTTGATCTGGATTCCTTTTTATGTAATTGTTCAAAATAGCGTTCATTGAAGGGATAACTACATCTTCATTTCAATCCAAATCACGAGCTAATCTTGCAGTTTCGTTTAATCGTATGAGAATCGGGTTCGTATGGTTATGTTGACGGCCAAGCAAACTGAAAATACAATAACATTTTTATATAAAAATCAGTTGAAATTTGGAATATAAGTTTGATACTTACTTGAAAGCAAAGCCTAAAAGGCTAACAATTTAATTAATATTTTCATTTTAGTTGATTAAGTACACAGTTTCAAAATATCGCTTAATTTTCTTATAAACTGTAAGTTTAAAGTCCCTAGTATTTATACCGATCCAAATTTATGCCACTTTCATCTTAATGAAACCAGAAACAGAATTTTAAACCACAGATGACAACAAAAGGGTTAACTAGACAAATGGTTAGTCTTTGTGCTAATAACCAGTCTGGTTCAATCATTTCGGACTGATATAATTAATTTAACATGCAAAATATGACTTAAATCAAATGTAAATTAAATTTGATTTGTTACCATAAGTTTTGACTTGGTAATTGAATAAATCTCAGTCTGAATTGATCTGCTTTGTTTTGAAATAAAAAAACATCAAAATCTATGGAATCACATTTTTTTATTTGTAATAAATACATTTCATTTGAAATATCAATAAATTCGGGACCTATTAGGTGAAAATTTGTTAGCCAACTTTGCCGTATAGTTTTCAATCAATTGCGCGGCCTTTTCATCTTGTCTCAGGTGGTACATTGTTAAGTTGGGATTGAATAGTTCACTTTCAAAAGTTAGTCCTAATGAACGACCTGCAGACCGTCTGGAGGCTACTAATTCAGAGGCAACATCAAGCAAATCCATCGGCCAGTCACCCATATATTCACCATCATAATTTAAAACACTTAGGATCTGGTTCACTCCACAGTTAGTTGGATTGATATCAAACATTTGTTCGTTTCTTTCTTTGTGATGAGAGGACAATCCAAACTGACCATTGTAACTTTGCACATCCTTCATCTTTGCCTGGATAACTTCACTTTTAGTTGAACCCAAACCACGAGCTGATCGTGCAGTTTCACATAAGCGTATGAGCATCGATTTTGGTAAAGCTACGGCTAAACACGCTGTAAATGGGTAAAAAATAAATATTATATAATTGTTCAAACACTATTCAAAATTGGACTTTTTAATACTTACTCGTAAGCAAAGCGGAAAAGATTAACAAATCTATAAACATTTCCATTTCAATTGTCATTTTGATTTGTATTGAAATCATTTGATTTCAAATATCAATGAACACAAGATTCAGTTAAATTCAATAATCAACAGCACTTAGACAGTTTTCAACTGATTGTGTAGTTTTTTTTATTCTGTTATTAGCCAACTTGATATGATTCTGAGCACTTCTTTCTGGACATCACTTGACTGTCTAATAATATAATTGAAAGTCAATCATCAAGCGACTATTAAAGCAACAGTTAAACCAATTAAAACCAGAATTTCACCAATTTATTGGTGCAATTGGACAAGATTATAAAATTATAAAATAAAATTAGGAGATCGATCACAAGATTGGATAACCGCTATTTTAAATAATTAAATGCATAATGAATTTGAATACAAGGAAATTTTGAATCTAATAAACCTTGAACAGTTAGTACTGTTGAACGCTAGTTTCCATCATTGATCTGAAGGCTACTCAGATCAGATGCCTCATCAGGAAAGCCCTTCGCTTAGTCAGTCAAGTTATGGCTACTCAGGCTCGGAAAATGAAATAATTTCAATGATTTAATTGTCATAATCAAACATAATAAAACGTCATTTCAATAGTAAAGACTTGCACTGAAAATGCTGCTATTAAGTGATTTGACCAAGTTCATGAATGCTCGTAAGAATGATGAGTAAGCTCAAACTTCGGTCTCTTTTTCATACTTTTCTTTACCGTTAACTCGAAGACAAAGTTTTACGTAAACTTCTGATGTAAAGATAAACCATAAACCTAGAAAAGAGAAAAGTTGTTCACCTAAACTCAACTTATTGTATACGAACTCCTCATTCTTACTCCAGCCTCTATTTTTATGAGTTTCTCATAGATACGAATTCTGAGATGAAATTTCCTACTTTTCTGAACTTTCATGCTGTGTAATGATGACCAGTCAAACGTTTATTGTGTCAAAATTGGTAATTGTTTAAATCGCTCGATGGCCAACATTTTGAAATATTTTTAGATTGGTAATTGTAAAATATTGTTATTAAACAGCATATCTTTTAAATTTTTTAATTTATTTTACCGAGTTGAGATGAAATTTAATATGATTCCTATCAAACGACCATATTGAAAGCAATTTGATAAATGTCAACGCATCTTGATTTCAATCAAAATAATCAAGTGTGTTTACACTCTTAAAGCTTGTATTGATAAAAGTAAAATAACATAGTTTTATGTCTCGATCTGATAGAAGTTGAATAACCTGAATTGTATTGTTGATGGAATTTGTCCCTGAAGTTGTAAATGCCAAACATTTTGAGACCTTTTATAAAATAATCTTTTTAAATTTAGTTTTACAAGCTTAAGAAATGAAATAACGATTATAATTTACTGTTTTCTGGTTGCAATTGACATTGAATCAAAACCATCTAACGGATAAAATGAATGCTAATGATAATATTGTAAAAATAGCACAAAAAAGTAAAACATTTATATTAACTGGATTTTATTTGTAATAAAATGCCATCAGTAATTACAGTGATTGATCAGTTTGATGATGATCATGAGACTATTGATGGTCAATTGTATTTTAATAGTGGGTTGCTTTTTTCATGGGGTTTCAGCATACTTGATATAATCTTAACGGCAGCCTTTTGAACTTCAATTTTATTTTCAATATCAACTGACTCTGGGAAATCAATGTTTTCGCAATAATCAGGCATCAAAGAGGAAACGACTTTTGAAGTTGCATTTGAAACCAAATCAGAACCAGAAACAAACGAGTTTAAATCAATTGTAGCATTTGATTGGGGTTTGAAGAGGTTATAAAAATTGTCAAGGAAGTCATCAGTGAAGTTCTGCTGGACAGATGAATTCAAAGCGGATAGTATTGATGAAACTGCAGGATAGTTTACTGGAGACTCGAGAGTTGAATTATTATGTCTAAGTGGTTGTAATGAATTGCTCATAAGTGCCAGTAGCTCAAGTAAAACTCCAACTTGAATAACACCGTCGTTGTCAATTGTCATGATAGTTGCACAGGTTCGACTCGTACGTGAAGTCAACCCATTCTTGTGAATGTAATTACTTAAAATAGCGTTCATTGATGCGATAACTACATCGTTATTTAGATCAAATTTACGAGCTAATCTTGCAGTTTCACATAACCGTACAAGAATGGGTTTTGGTATGGTTAGGGCCAAGCAAACTGAAAATAAGAAGACAATGTAACGAAGAAGCGATAACTTCAAAGATCTAGCAAAATTTAACACGCAATATATTACGTTGGATACTTACTTGAAATCAAAGCAGAAAAGGTTAACAATTTAGTTAATATTTCCATTTCAGTTTGTCTAAATGGCTCCGATAGCTCGTACAATTTTCAAATAAACTGTCAGTTCGCAGGCCATTGTATTTATACTGGCTAAATCGATGAGACTTTTTGTGATCATCTTAATGAAACCAGGAAAAGTGACAACAAAATAACTAAATCAGTCTAGACAAATGGTTAGTCTGGAACTGTCTCTATGCTAATGACCAGTCTGGTCTGATCGCTTCCAGACTGATGTGCTTAAATTAGCATTCAAAATGTTACAATGTAACTTTTTCTCAAATAATTGTTACATGAGTCAATGTAACTTGTTGATTGAATCAAACTCGGTTTAAATTAATCTGCATTTGCAGTGGTTTATTTAGCGGTTAAGTTTTGCAATAGAAATCTCGAGACAGGCTACAAAGTTTCTTAAAAAAATCCAATCCTGAGCTAAAGCATATTCATCTTCTTCATTTATTTCACTCATTATTCAACCTACTTGTCAATATTTAGTCTAGTCAACCGCCATATCTAGATTGAAAATGGTTTAAGAATGAGCCGCAAAAGAAGCTGAAACAAAATTATTAAATTAAGGTTAAAGATTGATCAACATTTGAAAATCACAACGATTTTTCGTAGAGATTTAATGCTGAAGCAAATACTTTTACTGTAGTAAATCATAAACTTGTGAATGAAAAGCAATGAGCTCTTGTTTTATGAATTAACTATTAGGTTAGGTTCAAAGGATTATCAGCAAAAACTTTGACTTTGAAGTTAAGAGACTTCGTGGCTTTGTAGGGGAACAAAAACTGAATTCATTTGTGGTATTAAAAAATCTGTCTGATCGTTAGTTTTTGCGAAAAGGGAGGTCAAAGTTGAAACTTCGACAGCCTTTTGTCCCGCTATGGAAGCAGATTTTTTCACGAAACTCATTTTAACGCGGTAACTTTTGTTAGTGAACCAGAAAATGGACTTATTTTGAAAAGTAACATTTTCCTTTTCTCGTAAAACAGATAAGTTCGATTTTCATTAAATCGACTTTTTTTTGATAACCGTCCAAGTTAGAGAGTTGAAGCTTAGTATTCGTCGATGAAAATGGGATTGTTCACATTGTGTAACGAAAAATTTTTACATTTTATCAACAGTTCTCTTAATTTCGGCCATTAACCTAAAAAGTTTGAGACTAGATATTTCGAGAATGGTATCATCTACAATCATCATTCTCTGGCCAACTATTAGACTTTGTTATGGGTCTTAATATAATATGACTCGATGTCGAAGAAAATCTGAGCTTATTCATTCATGAATGATTTAAGTTTGAGTAAACATTTAACTTTATAAACAAAATACAATCTGATAACATAAATAATGAAATGCTATAACTTTTTCTGTAGTTTGTTCAATGATTAAATATTTGAATAAATTATAGACCATAATAGCATCAATTGTTTGGCTAAAGAATGATAGTTTCAAGTTCTACCATTGTCGAACTATTGAGACTGAAAGTTTTTAGGTCAATGGCCAAAATTAGACGATTTATTGCTGAAAGGAAAAAGTTATTCAATGCATGATGGTAACAAATCATTTTTATCGACCAATACTTCGTTTCAGCTCTAACTGATTTGGTTCTCAAGAAAAGTCGATTTAAATGAAAATCGAACTTAGCTGTTTTACGAAAAAAAGAAAATGTTATCTGTCAAAATAACACCATATTCTGATGCAGCATCAAAAGACAACTCAGTAAAATAAGTTTCAAGAAAAAATCGAGTCTCATAATTGAACAAAAGGCGTTCGCAGTTTCAATTTTGACCTCGATTTTCTCGCAAATTTTTCATCCAATGAATTATCTAATAGTACCAATTGATTCAGTTTTTATTTCTCTACAAACCTCAACAAGTCAAAACTTCTAACTCAAATTTTCGAGCATTTAGCAGTATTTTTTGCATTTCGTTTGCTAGATTAACCAGAAAATTGGTTTATTTACCAAGAAATGAGTTTAGATGAGTTTTGTTTGTTGAATAAGCTTTTGCTTTTACATTTACAGCCCGAAAATCATAAAGCGAAGGCGTAAATGCAGAGTTATTAGATTGAATTGAATCATCAATTAGTAAAGAATGAAATTGGCGAAATAATAATGATTGTAGGTGAAAGGTTTGTGAGCAACGAAGAGGCCTAACTTAGAAGACTGCACAACTTGCTTTCATATCAAGTTTGAAATTCGTATCATGGATTCCAATCCAGAGCTTACAACACTGTCAGTTAATCACTTACACTACGATTTAGATCTCACAAGAGATGATGAAGATAGCTAGAGCTATGAACAAGACTATTTGGGGCTTTACCCTTATATCGCGAAGATTTAAGGTCTTGTTAGATTTCACAAGTAATACAATTAGAACTCATAAGAGTTGGAACTTGGATAAGTTTTAGTTAAATTGAAAAGGATTGAATACTTGGAAATAGAGATTTCACTGTAACTTATTTTAATGAAATTTAAGAATCATAAATAGCTTCAGAGAGCTTGAACAATTTAGAGTTTTAGGATGAATTGAATTGAACCGAGACGTCTTCAGTTGACAATTTACAATTAAGGCAAAATATCTTAAGATATCCATATTTATGAAAAATGAGAACAAAAGAAATGAAATTGGTGGGAAAATTAAGAAAGAAATTAAAATCACTGTCTTCATTTGTCTAATTTAGGTTTCTTGTGCAAAGAGTATTTCAATACTAATAAAGCTATGACGCCACTTTAGGGGTGACAACTTTACCCTTATCAGTATTGTCTTGAGACAACTCTTTTTTACCCCTATTGGTAATCTTAGCCTTTGCAAGGCAAAGGGATTAACAATTGGAGTCTGAGGAAAAGAAAGGGAATTTTGCAACTCT